CCTCACATTTCTCGCCGCCGGTGAGCCACGTTCCGCCTCCAGCCGCCATGTGGGGCCGCATGTGGAGCTCCGGCCGCGGCTCCGGGAGTATCCGCCGGCGCGGGCTACCCCGAGCGCGAGCGGCGTGTCCGCTCGGACGACGCGAGGAAGTGGACGAACCGGGGCCTCTCGTCGCTGCGAGCTTCCGCGTCCACGAGACGGAGGAATGCGGCCGTCGGCACGAGCGTACGCCCTCCTACGCCGCGGGCTCATCCTTCGGCGCGAGATCCTCCCATGCCGCAAGCTCTTCCTCTTTCGGCGCGAGCCTTCTCCCCGTGAAGCGGGAGTGGTCGAAGGAGCCGGAGGAGATCGAGATCGTCGCCGTCAAGCAGGAGCCCGAGGAGATTGTGCGTCGTGGTATCGTCATGCCCGAGGACTTCGTCGCCGATGACGACGCGGTCGCGACCGTCATTGCCGAACGCAGCTTGCGCGAGGAGGCGGAGCGCCGGCGCCACCAAGAGGAGCTCGACGACCTCGTGTTCCAACGGGCGGTCGCGGCGAACCTTCTCGCCAAGGAGAAGGACGACGAGTGGCGGCGCATCTGCGAGGAGCAAAAGTAGAAGTACATCGACGTCGGCAACTCCGATGAGGAGGATTGAGCTCCTCCACCGCGTCGTCCATGGCCGTGAGCTCGCCGCCGTGAGATCCCCACCTCCTATGGTACTAGTAGTGAATGTAGTATGTAGTATGAGCTAGTATTTGTAGTGAATTAATGTTTGATCATATAGTATATGTGATATGTGATGAACTACAACGGTTATAATTTCTCCCCGAAACTTTTATTCAAATTATCCAGTTTCATATACGGTTTATGTTGGGCTGTGCACGTTTTTGACCCGCAAACGAGATCTACTAGAGTTGCTCTTACACCTGATCGCTCGTGTTAACATCTTTTAAAGAAAATTGTATAGAAAATATAATGCTATATACTCTGTTCTTAGGGGAACCAATCTTGGCCAACGCCCTTCCCGCCGTCCGATCTGGTAGAATGGATCTTGGCCCAAATCGAGCATGCCCGGGAGACTCTGAACTCGCGCCCTCCTACCCAAGGGACATGCGCACTCACCGCTTGGGTTCAACAGAGTTTGTAAAGACTTGCACTCAGACACCTTTTATGTATTTGAGTTAATTAGTTTTTAATTTGTTTTTAAAAATTTTATAAATCGACAATCCAGAATTATTATTATTTTCATTTCTTGAACAAAAATCCCTACCTTTTAGAGGGATTTTGTTTCCTAAGCTTGTCATGTGCATTTATTTATTATAGGTAGCATGAGAATTTATTCTTCTATTAAAACCATGGCAATTTTTGTCTTTCAAAACATGGCATTTTTATTATTATATCATGGTATTTTAATAATTAGTAACATGGCATTTTTATGAATAAAAGGATGAGAGTCTTATTATTAAGATCATTATATTTTTAATAATTGATAAGCTGGCATTTTTATTATTAGGAGGATTGTTGTTTTATTATTACCATGATGGAAGCTTTATTTATTAAGAGTCTGACATTTTTATTATTGTTTTCATGACATTTTTATTATCAAGAGGATGGCAATTTCATTCTTATTGGTATGGTATTTCTTATTATCATGTTAAATTTATAAATTAGCAAAATAGTTGTAAAGTGGTATGGTAATTTTCATATTTCAGAGCATGGCATTCTATAAATTTTAGTTTTCTTGGTATTTTATAAGAAAATGTGTATTCTTTTTGTTCATGCATTCTTTTATCTCGAGGATGGTAGTTTTAAAGTTCAGCATGGCAATTCTATTTTTCTAGATAGCACAACCTTCTTTTTTTTTATCGTACACATTTTAAATTTATAAATTAGAGGAATGGCAGTTTTGTAAAGCATGCCATTTCCTCACAAGTGTGCCACATCAGCATCCACTGACAATATTTTTCAGCCAATGCAAACCTTGTTTCATTATTATCACTAATTCTCTCAACATACAAGCATCCCACTTCACTATACGCTAACATTTTTTTTCTTTGAGTCCATGCAAACCATACCAATATGTTTATTTTTGTCACTGGACATATGTAGTAGATTAGATAATTATTCAATTTATATACTTTCTAAATGTTGTGAAATGCCTTGATTTACATAGAATGCAAGTACAAAGTAATTATATGGTTAAATTAGTAGCTTTTGATTTAGATCTTTTAATCCTTATATCCCCGCATCAATGCGCGGAGAAATTACCTAGTTTATGTATATGAGTGGTACTTGGTCTCGGTTGATGGTGCTTTATGTTTGCTCCTCCAGTGAAGTGCGCTAAAACCAACTCCTTCGTGTAGGTGCTTCATCCATTGAAGCTTGTGTTGTATCTTTTTTTTTCCATCACAATGACTATATATTAGTTCATTGAATTGTATTTAGGATAAATTGATTTTATGGGAGAAGGAATGGATGTAGGAGGTAGAAAATTGAAGGAAGTAAAAAAGAAGGGCGTTCGTTGAATCTTAATCTAATGACCCAAAAATAACTTATCCAAATAAATTCTCCAACAATTTACATATAGCTGGTCCCTTTATAAAACTAGCTCAGAATCCACAGGACATGAATGTTCCTCCTTTTGCATGAAACGATAGCAATGTGGTATTTCGACTCAAGAGGCGTGTAAGTTGCCTGTGCCTCTGCCAACAACACGCAGAAGTGCACTGCCCGTGTTTAAATGCGGCGCGAGTGCATTTTTATCAAAAAATGCTCTCTCGAGCTCACACACTCTTTGCTACAATAAAATCTGGAAAAAAATTGATTGAGTTGGTTAGGTGGACAGTGGTATCCTCAACCCATCAGGGTTCAAATCCTGGTGCTCGCATTATTTCTCGATTTATTTCAGAATTTGCGGCGATGCGCTTTCAGTGGGAGGAGACGTTCCCGTCGACGACGAGACGCCTACGGTGACTTCGTAAATCTCAAGATGATATGTCGGCTCAGTCTCTCGAAGGTGCTCATAGGGGTAGGGTGTGCGTGTGTGCGTTCATAGAAATGAGTGTATGCGCGTGTATATGAGCGCTTGTGTCTGTACTGATGCTCAAAAAAAAAACTCGTTGATTTTTTTTTTTTGGCAACAAACAATGAAGTGTGTTTCACATGCGTGGAGAAAAACATGGCAGAGTAGTCGAAACGGCGGCAAAGAAACGGCGAGGGGCAACGGACGGGCACAGAAGATCCGCGGCGGGAGACGTGGCACTGAGCAGGTCAGGTGCGGCGTAGTGCGATCCGGACCGAGCAGGCGCGGCCGACGCCACGACCCAGGAGCCGCAGACCAGCCCAGGCCCTGATCGCGCGCCGCTCCCGAGATTCCCTCCGCGTTGCAGCGTGATCCGTCGGATCTCGATCGGACGGGCAAGGCTCGCCTCGTGGAGCGTCAGGAAAGGAATTCTGCGGCCGTTCCGTTGATGGCGGGCGCGACAACGTGGACCCTCCACCAGCCTGCCCAACGGTGGTGACCGACCGCGACACTCCGTTGGAAGCCGTTGGGACTCGCCATTCTCTTCCCTCTTTTTTTTTACCCTTTTGCCTCTCTCTCTTTCTCACGCGCCATCGTCGTCCATTTCAAATTTGCGTTATTTTATCATCAGGGACGCTGATTACGAAATAGACGCACTAACCCACACTCACGTCACTGCAGCTCGTACGCGCTCACACGTCCAGAGTTGTCATCAAACTTCGAGAGCAAGAGTACGGCATCTTCAATGGCAACCCGCAAATTTTCTTTCGCGTCCGTTCACAGGGGGACCAGTCCGCAGACACAAATGCGGGAATCCGGTATTCAACCGTAGCCGCATATATTTCAAACTTTTTTTCAACAAATTGGGTGAAATTCATCCAAACACTGTCAGATTTCATATAAACATGACAGATTTCATACAAACGAAACGAAAAAGTTGACATTTTGAACATATTTTAAACAAAAAAGGGTAAAACTATGTGCACGTACGGTCGTGCGGAGCTCCGCTCCCACAACACGGATACACTATATTAGTCTATGGCCGGCCGTGACAGATCTCTTTGTCTTCCTTATGTCCGGCAGTCTCGGAGGTATATGCTTCAACGCAAAGGGCGGCTCGCTTCCCCACCACTCATCGTAGTGGAACCGTCGGTTGATGCTTCAGCCGGAGGGGAAGGGGCGCCTACGCTTCCAGGAAGCCCAGACGGCGGTCGACGATGGTCTGCACCGAAGAAGAACCGGGCAAGACACCAGTTGTGTACGCCAGTGTCGCCTCAGCGGTGGCCTTCCTTAGACCCAAGTGGCGGCTGCCACCCATGTTCTATTTTTCCTCGATGTTGGCGGCGAATGCGGACGTGCCGGCCACACCGACTCGTCAATCTCTGCATAGTAGGCTTCTTTCTCTGCCAGCAGGGTGCGGGTACGCGCGCGTTGACAGCGGATGGCACAGTCGCAGGCACGTGAGGGGCGGTACGACGCGGCGACATCCACGGTAGCGACAATGCCTGCGCCGCCGTGCTCCCCGTTGTGACAGCTTGGAGCAACTCGCCACTCCTCCGCAAGCTGGTTTGGAGCGGCGAGTTGCTGAACCAAGCGTCGGTTTGGGACGGCAACTTGCTTTGT